CCATGCACACAGGGTCCCTTCCTTTAGGGTTCCTTTTTCCCCAGTGTGGCTCTCAGCCACAGTTTATTAGAAAGCTTCTCTGTCCAGGGAAGAATGTCCCTGCTCTGACTCCTTAGAGAGCAGGTTGTTAGATGTACTGTGGGTTCTGTGTATTTTAGCTAGAGCTGCAGAGCTCCTCATGTAGTTGAGTGGCTGGATGGAAAGGATACATCACCGTGTGGTATTTCCTAGTTCCTTGGTTGGAGACAGAGAAGCTACTGTGGTAGTCCTGCTAGCATTGAGAATGCTGGAACTCTTGCTACATCAGTACTCTTTTAGTCTCTGGGTTCACGTGATCATCCTGAGAGAGCTTGTGCTATGTTTTTCTTACAAAGAATTTTTCTCAGATTGTCACTTTTTTTTTTTTAAGGTCTCAGGGTATTCTCATATTGAGTATCCAGGCTGGCGTCAAATTCAAAATCCTCTTGCTGTAGGCTCTAAGTATTGGGATTAGAAGTATTACTACCAGTCCTGCTTTCCATTTTGTGTTCTTGATCAAACTCAGTGCCAATACACGGAACCATCCTCTGGCAGAGAAAACAGGCAAAGTCCAAATGTCAGAATTAATCTTAATCTTTTTTAAAAAAGAAAAGTTGTCATTCATCTCATGCTTTTATCTCTGGAATGCCAGGATTAGAGGTATGTGCCACCACTCCCAGTTTTAGAAGCATCATTTTTGCTTCAAATTTCCAGTCTCCAAAAAACTCCTTCTATGAATTGTTCAGTCCTGCAGCTATTGATAATACTCTTGGTCCTGGATGTTTTGGTGCGTGCCTGTAATCGCATCACTTAGGAGGCTCAGGCTAGCTAGGTTACATGGTGGGGGCATATATATAGTTTTAAAGTCATATTTTTATTCCTAGAATCTAAAGAAAAATCATTTTTGTATTCCTAGAAGCTACCATGGTGGTCTGGTGTATAATAGTTGCCTGGTAAATGCATTTTCTCAGAATGACTGAATGAATAAGTTTAATGTTCTATTTGTAGTATGTGATATTGGCATAGTTGCTTATAAACTATCCATGGGTACTTTTGTACACTGCATACACATAGCCCATCCATTTACAACACTTGTTTTCCTAGCTAATGGATCTGTTAAGTTTCTCTTAGCTCTGCTGCCTGCTTCCTTGGCTGCTATGACTTACTGCCTTGTTGTTGTTGTTTTGATGCAGGATTTCTCTGTGTAGCCCTGGAACTCCCTCTGTAGACCAGGTTGGCCTTGAACTCAGAGATCTGCCTGCCTCTGCCTCCAGAGTGCTGGAATGAAAGGTGTATGTAACCACACCCATCGGTTTCGGCTTCCTTTTTCTTATTCATTAGTGTTATGAACCACATATTTTATGTACCAAGCTCTAGCATACTGTCTGGGGAAGTCCAAAAGGAAGAAATACAGTTCCTGTGATCAGTGGAAAGAGATGCAAATGAGCCTGTTTTGAAAATGAGGGTGATGAGCTACACAGCTTGCTAGCATTCTGGGATATCCTGGATTCTGTGGGACTTTTAAAGGAAGGGCAGGAAGATGTTACAGAAAAAGACAGTAATGTCACCATGTCTTGATGGTGATTGAGGAGTTGCCCACTATTTACCCACTGCATACAACAACAAAGCTTGTTAGCCATATTCACTTCATTATCACAGCATCACTAAGTAGATGCTGATCTTAAGATTGTGCATCCTTAATAGTAAGCTGTTCTCTACAGTGACTTATAGATGTTGTCAAGGACAGTAAAAGAGTCTGCCAGTAGAATGTGGGAGCCAGGATGCAGAGAGAGTTGGGTCAAGGAGGTAAACTGACATGGTATCTGATCTTCAGGAACTGCTCGGTCCTGTTGGCATGTTAGTCAGCCATTCTACCCACTGTCCTGCCAAGGTCCCTGTACCCTATGTAACTTCTCTCTTCTTTACTTTCAGGTCAGAATGTTCCTGCAGGATCCCATGTGAGAATGAATCTACAGACTGGAGCAAGAGAGGTGAAACTCCAACAAGAAGACAAATTTCAAACTAATATGAAAGGATTTAAAAAAGGCAAAAGGTACTGTATTAGTCCTAGGCACTAGGAGGCTTAGTGATGACATTGATTTGGAAATACTAGCAATGTTACCCAATTCATGAGTGTGATTTGTTTGTTTGTTTCTTTGAGACAGGGTTTCTCTATGTAGTCCTGGCTGTCCTGGAACTTGCTCTGTAGACCAGGCTGGCCTCGAACTCAGAGATTTGCTTTTGTCTCCTGAGGGCTGGGTGTAAAGGTGTGCACCAAGACTGGCTATGTGTGTGACAATTTTTATTTGAAATTTAACAGTGTAGAATTTTTGATAAAATTGTGAGGGTTCATATGGCTGTTTACTTCCACAATCTCTGAGAAAAAAATATCTTACAAAGAAAATAGATGCTATAGGGGAATGCTTAATCTGGCTTAATGCTTAAAAGGGAAGCTGCTTCCCCATTCTTTAAGAGCACCCATTTGAATCCCAACAATTAATGCGATGATTACCAATGAGTCATCTGTTCATTAAAACAAGCCTGCTAGGTCTTCTGCTTTTCGGTGATACTTCCTTGGTGAACAATAAAATTGTCTTTAGAAGTCTTTAATTCAGACTAACCTTTCCTCTCATTAGTCAGTGTTAAAATAGGCTTTTTCATAGTATGTGAGTAGAAGCTACCACATTCCCAGTGTTTCCAGGTTTCCTAACTTTTTAATAACCAGTTTGAACGATTTGATTTTAGAGAATTAATAGTTTCTATTTTTCCTGTTAATTGCCTTGAGTTAACAAGTTTTCTTTGCTTGGTGTTTCCTGAAAGAGAGGAAAGGAAACTTGGGCATGGGGTGGCCGAGGTTTCTAGGTCCCTTAGTATGTGTATATAGCATGTTAACACAGGGACCAGACACATACGATGTACATGTTGGGACTGCTGCCTGTTTGGGTATGGCCAACGAGCTAAGTTGGTTCTTATTTTAATAGAAAAACCAAGAAGAATATTTCATGATTATGGAAATCATGTGAAATTCAGATGTTCATTTGTTTACATATCATTTATGGCTGCTTTCTTGCTATAGTGGTAAAGTTGAGACAGCCACAAAGCTTAAAATATTAACTGGTTATTACAGGTAGTTGGTGAACCCTGTTCTGAAACATGTAAATTATTTGGAATTAATTGTAGGTTAAATAGGTCCTATTTGGCTTTTTGATTATTACTAGTTTAAGAAATTTTATAGTTATATATAAGCTATGAAGGAACATTAGCTATCTGACTTCCTTCCTTCCTTCCTTTCCCTTCCTTCCTTCCTTCCTTCCTTCCTTCTTTCCTTCCTTCCTTCCTTCCTTCCTTCCTCCCCCCTCTTTCTTTCTTTCTTTCTTTTTTTTTCTTTTATTCTTTTTTTTTTGAGACAGTGTTTCTCTGTGTAGCTTTGGAGCCTGTCCTGGCACTCATTCTGTAGACCAGGCTGGCCTCAAACTCAGAGATCCAACTGCCTCTGCCTCCCGAGTGCTGGGATTAAAGGCTTATGACACTACTATCCTGCTCTTTTTTCTTTTTGTTTCATTAAAAACAAATTGTGCTCTGCATGTGTTTGTATGTGCCAAGTGTGTGGGGTGCCCCCAGAGACCAGAAGAGGGTGTCATACGTCTTAGAACTAGAGTCACAGGTTGTTGTGAGCCATCCAGCATGGGTGCTGGCAATTGAACTCAGGTCCTCTGGAAGAGCAGCAAGCTCTCTTAACTGTTGAGCCATCCAACTCTAAGACCTTTCCTTGACATAAATGACCAAAATGTCATTTAGCTGATCCATGTGCCTGTTTAGTCAAGTGCTACTCACAAACCCCACAAAGATGCACAGGCAGATTTAGACAGTTTTTATAGTTAGAAGATTCTAATTTACATTAAAATGGAGGCATTTGCCATCATCCCAGACTAGGAAAGTTCTTCCCTATCTCTTCACAGAGGCTTATACTTGCCTTGTCCCAAATCATGCAATTATTCCTTTCTTACAGCCATACCATTGTATAGCCCTGCTAACCTTTCCCAGCTCCAGGAAGCATTCGTGTCAAGGCACTTTGAGCTCTTCTCTCACATGTAGTGCAATTCTTATTTTATAATGAAAAATCCTACCTCCTCCTTGTTTTAAGAATATTGACCTAGGAACTTGATTAAGTGAGAGCTGTTGATTTGTTGTTTTGTATATCCCACCCCACCACCCCTGACTGCCGGTCATCAGTAGGAGTACTTACAAGTTTGTCTTTGCTCCTTTTAGAGCAGGTCTCGACCCTTTTTGGGGAGGGGGTGTTGAGTGACCCATTCACAGGGGTCACACATCAGATATGCTGCATATCAGATATTTGCATTACGATTCACAACACTAACAAAATTACAGTTATGAAGTAGCAACAAAATAGTCTTATGGCTGGTGGTCACCGCAACATGAAGAACTGTACTAAAGGGTCAAAGCATCAGGAAGGTTGAGAACCACTGCTTTAGAGCCAAAGCCTTCTGTGTAGCCTGTAGAGACACCATAAGGAGGAGGAACACTTATTCCTACTTTTTCCTCTCTGCTTTTCTCCCGTGGACTGTTTCTGAGAGCTTTGCCCTAGAATGGCCCCCAGGATATTCTGGGCATTTCCTTTTCTCTCTCAGATTTTGCACCCCACCCTTCTCTAGTTCCTGGGTCACAGGCTTAGGGCTTAAGAGCCAGCATCCTGGAATGAGCAATGTTTTGGTTATCTGATTAGCGTGTTGTGGAAGACAAGGCATGCAGCTTTCTATTCGATTGTTCAGATGAGTCAGTGAACCACTGGACTGGAGAGACAGGGAGCCAAGCTCCAAGCTAGTCCTGCTGGTCATGTTGCTACTTAGAGCTACAATGCCTGTGGGCTCTAAGCCTGGGGCAGAGACCCTGCCTTAGGGCTGTCTCAGAAGGTCCTCTTGGCACTCCCTGACTTCAAATATATTTTTAGGCATAAAAGGCATAAAGGTTTTATTCTACATCCTGTCAACCTCTTCATAGAACAAACATCTCTTTGCCCTGGAATCTTCTTTGAAACTCCCTTCTATGTTAGAGGAATGAAGGACAGACTCCACTCCATCTGAGTTGTGACATCTTGGGTCAGGTCTTTGCCCTGCTGCGGTGTGGTATGGTGGTGAAGAATTGAGCCTGCTGCGGTGTGGTATGGTGGTGAAGAATTGAGCCAAAGACAAGTTGTTTATCTGCTGTGCTAATTCATTCTGTGACCTAATGTCTGTGTGACAGACATTATGGAAATAGTAAGAGACAAAACAGACAAGTGGTAGCCTCCATGAGGTGAGTGGAGGCCTTGTAGAGGTTGACAGGCAGAAAACCAAGGAAATAAACATATGAGTAAGATAATTATGAATTATAATAAGTTCTGGGGAAGAAATGGGCAAGATAATGAGTCTCTGCAGGAGATCATGTTAGATAGGATGATTTGGGAAGGAAGACCTCATCAACATATTTGAACTGAAAGCTAAAGGAAGAGAATTTAAATTCTACAAAGAGTGTTTGTAAGTTTGGGGGTTTTTTTATTTCAAGCAGATGGAACAAAAAGCACAGCCCCATACTT